GGGAGGGTCAGAGAGAGGGGGAGATACAGACTCCGAAATAGGCTCCAGGCTCTGAGCTGGCAGTCAGCACAGAGCCCGACGCGGGGCTCGAACCCACGAATCGCGAGATCATGACCTAAGCGAAAGTCGGTCGCTTAACCGACGAAGCCACCCAGGCGCCCCTGCCTGTGTCTTTTATTCCATCTCTAGTCCATTTCAGAGTGTGGAGAAGGATACAGTCTTCTTTTTTTCTCCATCACCTGTACTGCTCACCAGCTGTGTGACCCTAGGCAAGCCCCTCCGCCCTGTGTGCCTCAGTCTCCTCCTCTGTAAAATGGGGATAATAATAGGACCCACCTCCTAAAGTTGTTACAATTATGTTAGGATAAATATGTTTGCACGTATAGGAGGATTAGGAGGAATTAACGGAGGACCGTGTGGGAGAAGAAGGGGGGAAATAGTGGGGGAGAGGGAGAGAGGCAAACCATGAGAGACTCTTGAATGCTGAGAACAAACTGAGGACTGATGGGTGTGGGGGGGGGTGATGGGCATGGGGGAGGGCACTTGTGAGGATGAGCACTGGGTGTTATATGGAAACCAACTTGACAAACAATAAATAAATGAAGACAAAAATAAATAAATAAAATTTGAATTTTTCTTTAAAAAATTATGTTAGGATAAAATGAGCTCTTCTGTGTCAAGCGCCTACAGTCGTATTGGGCAGGTCGTAAATGCTCAGTGAATGCTCATATAGAAACATGATGGAAATAGACACCTTTATTAAGTTCTTATTATAAGCCAGGACATGTGCTGTCTGCTTTTCATGAATCCCGCTGGATATCACCCCTATTCTATAGAGGAGGAGACTGAGGCTCAGAGAGGGGGAGCCACTAGGCCAAAGCTGAACGTCAGTCACTCACGGCTGTGGTGCATTCAGACCCAAGACCCGCGCCTCTGGGTGGGTGGGGCCTGACTCTGGGCCACGGGGGACAGGGAGGACCCAGGAGGGCCAGTGCCCTGGCCAGAGTGATCTCGGAGTTTGATCGGCTGGCTCTTGGTGGCCTGTGCTTGGCGTCCCCCTATCAGCCTGGCAAGGGTGGTCTCAGTGGGACGCGCCTGGAGGGGAAGCAAAGGAGGTGGCCCTTACCAGGCTGGGTCCTCTGTCCCCGGGTCTCCGACTCCGCGCGAGCACCTGCCCTTTGCTGCTGGCTCCGAGGAAGTCGTGGTAGAACGCGGAAGCAGGGCTGTTTTCTGGAGGGCCAGGGGCAGTGCTCTCTCTGAAACGCACCTCTGGAAATTCTCCCGCCGCCGCCGCGGCCCCTGCCTGGTCCAGCGCCCCCAGCAGCTGACTTCCGGCATCTCCCCCAGCGCCGTCCTCTCTCCGTCCCCAGGCCCGCAACCCCGGCAACAGCCAGAGGGCGCCCGTGAGCTCCTTCGTCAGCTCCGGCCCCTCCTCTGCTGAAGACCCCCCACCAAAGGGCCACCTGCCCGCAAAACACCCTTTGCCTGGAGTCCGGCCCTGCCACGGTGGTGTCCACCAATACCTTCCCAAGGCGTTGGGCCCCCAGTGAGACAGACCCCCCACCCCCACCCCCGGGGCCCCCCCTCGGACTTCCTGCAGAGGCAAACCACGCCGTGTCCCTCCGGACTCACTCTTTCAACAGGCTTCCCTTCTGCCCCAGGCGCAAGGCCTGCCTCCGCAGGGCTCTGGCACCTGGCCGGTCCCACCCCTGCCAGGCCCCGCCCTCCTCTCTCCTACTCCCTGCCCCAGGCGCCCCAGGCCTCAGGGCCTCAGGCTTCTCAGCCCAGCCTTTGTCAGGCCACACCCCTCCCTGCGCCTAAGAGACCCAAGGTTGGGGGGCTCCGGCTCCCAAGGCCCATCCTGCGGCTCCGACAAAGTCCCCATCCCTGGGCCTGGGCCCCCAGGGCCAGGCCTCTTCCCCCCAAGCTCTCTGGTGACCGGAAGTGCCTTGCCCAGTGTAATGGGCTGAATGGCGGCCTCCCAAAGATGTGTCCACGTCTCTGAAATTGTCAGTGTGGCCTAATTGGGGATGGGGTCTTTGCAGAGGTGATTAAGTGAAGGATCTTGAAATGAGATCCGCCTGGATTAGGGTGGGCGCACAAGCCAACAAGCAACCTCAGGAGACAAGAGAGGACACAGAAGAGAGGACCCCCCAGAGACGGGCAGGGGGAGGGGGGGCCCTGTGAGGGGGGAGCGGAGACCGGGCGGCGAGGCGCGGGACAGATTCCTCCAGAAGGAGCGAACCTTGCCCACACCTTGGTTTCAGCCCGTGGCCTGCACTGTGAAGCAATGAATTACTGTTTCCAGCCCGCTGGTCTGTGGGACCTTGTCACACAGCCCTGGGAACCTAAACCTTCTGCTTTGGTTAGGTTTGCACTTCTTTTTTTTTTTTTTTTTTAAATATTTTTTATTTATTTCTAGGAGAGAGAGAGAGAGACAGCGTGAGCTGGGGAGGGTCAGAGAGAGAGGGAGTCACAGACCGAAACAGGCTCCAGGCTCTGAGCTGGCAGCCAGCACAGAGCACGACGCGGGGCTCGAACCCAAGAACCGCGAGATCATGACCCAAGCGAAAGTCGGACGCTTAACCGACTAAGCCACCCAGGCGCCCCATAGGTTTGCACTTCTGAGATGGTGAGCGTCCTGAAGACCCCTCCCACCTCACCCCTGCAGTGCCGCCGAGTGAGTCTCCGAGAGCCTAGCGTTGACCTGGCGCTTAGGAACCGTGCCCAATGACTAAGCCGCCAACCATGAAGTGGGTAAAGGACCCCAGGAAAGAAGGGCTTTCCTGGAGCCCAAGAGAACATCCACTTCTACCAGGCGGCAGCGGGAGGAAGTGGGGCCCCGGGGCCCCCTCCCAGGGGGAACCGCCAGCAGACCCCAGGGCCGGGTTGTCCTTCCTCTGCACACACCCTAACATGACTGGTCACAGGAGAGATGTGGCCAGTCCTCTTGTCCGAATCCGTTTGTTGCTCAGTTACTCACTCGACAAACGCTCAGAGGGGAGCTCTTGGCCAGGCACTGCTGTGAGCACTGTCGAGGGACCGATTATTAGGGCCTGGTTTGTGACGTCGAGGAAACTAGGGTGGTTCTCCGGGGTGGGGGGTGGGGGGAACTCGTGGATCTTTCTCGGGGTTGTCTCTCCTGCTTTCATGACCAAGAGGGAAGATGTCTGACCGGACAGTCACAGTGTGAGAGCTCAGAAATCGGACGCCCCACCTCCACCCCTTCTCAGGCAAGTGTGGAATCAGCAGACCAGGAGAGAGCATTCTCAGGTCCGTGGGAGGGAACATGAGTACATGTACCTTAAGGACTAGATTTTAATACAAAACATGGATACTTATTGGTTGCGTTGTGCTATTTTCAGACGAAAAGGTTGGTGCGTTGACGTTTCAAGAGACCCATGATCTGTCTCAGGGACTTGAAGTTATACAATCGAATGACACTCCCCACCCCCCACCCCAACAGAGGAGAATTAAGACAAAGCAGAAACCAAAATGCTTGCAAGTTCCTACTTCACTCAGAGGAAACGCTCAAGTCCTCCCAGTGGCCTGCTAGGTCCGGCACCATCTGCTTCGTCACCCCCTGCTGTCGCTTCCTGTCACTCACCCCTCACTTACTCTGCTCCAGCCTCACTGGGCTCCTGGATGTTCCTTAAATAGCTCAGGCACACTCATGCCTCAGGGCCTTTGCACAGGCTGCTCCCTCTGCCTAGAACACCCTTCCCTCCATATCCACCTGAAGAAGTTACCTCCTTCAAGTCTTCGCTCAAATATCCCCTTCTCGAGGAGGGGTTCACTAACCATGTTGTCTAAAAAAATCCCCCCAACTCTCTACCCCCATGTTTTATATTTCTGCAATCATTCTCCCCACTATCTAGTACATTAGATGTTTTATTTATTTATCCATATGTTCTTTCTCCCCCCACTCAACCGTTAGCTCTGCTAAGGGCAGGAATTTTTGCCAGTTTGGTTCACTGTTGTGTCCCCCAGCCTTAAGCCCAGGGGCTGGGTCCACAGTAGGTGATCAATAAATGTTGATTGTGTGAACAATACTTATTCTGTGTCAGGTGCTATGCTGTGTACTTCAATAATTAGTAACTAATGAGAATAATACTAAAGACGTGGGACATGTGGCGCCTGGCTGGCTCAGTCAGTAGAGCGTGTGACTCATGATCTCTGTGGGCTGTCAGTTCAAGCCCAATGTTGGATGTAGAGCCTACTTAAAAAAAAAGAAAGTTTTATTTTGTTTTATTACTATTTTTTAAATGTTTTATTTATTTCTGAGAGAGAGAGAGAGAGAGAGAGAGACAGTGTGAGCAGGGGAGGGTCAGAGGGAGAGGGAGACACAGAATCTGAAACAGGCTCCAGGCTCTGAGCTGTCAGCACAGAGCCCGACGTGGGGCTCGAACTCGTGAACCATGAGATCATGACTTGAGCCGAAGTCTGCCGCTCAGCCGACTGAGCCCCCCAGGCACCCCTCATACGGTGCTTGTCCTATGCTGGGTCCGTGCGTGTGCCTGTGGGTATAGATCTGCATTTCCAGAAAACCCTTACAATCCTAGAAGAGGTACTATTATTACACCCATTTTACAGTTGAAGAAACTGAGGAACAGAGAGGCTAGGTCACTTGACCAAGGTCACACAGCTAGCAAGTGGTTGTCCTGGGGCTCATTTCTGAAAGCAAGAACAATGCTAGGGAGGGGTAGGGGCCACCCCATACCGATCTGGATCTTCACACCCAGCGAGGTAGTCCTGGCAGAGCAAAGGTGCACAATTACAGGAATGAGGAAGCTCTTTATTCCCACCATACGCCAAGCGCACAGTATACACCATTTGTGTAGAAAAAAAGAAAAATTAGGGGCGCCTGGGTGGCTCAGTCGGCTAAGCATCCCAACTTATCTCAGGTCATGATCTCACGGTTCGTGGGTTCAAGCCCCGGGTTGGGCTCTGTGCTGACAACTCAGAGCCTGGAGCCTGCTTCAGATCCTGTGTCTCCCTCTCTCTCTGCCCCTCCCCTGCTCATGCTCTGTCTCTCAAAAATAAACATTAAAAAAAAAAAAAAGAAAAGAAAAATTGATCTGTGCAGCCTCTCAGGGAAGGTACCTGAGAAACTGGGGACCTTCGTTGGGGGTGGACTTGAAGAGCAGAGCGGAGGGCTGGATTTTCATTCTGTCCCCTTAGGAGTTCAGGACTGTGATCCCATAGCCGAAAACAAACTGAAACTTTAGAAATTATGAGTCTGTGAACAGCCTCTCGAGAGAATGCACACGCACAAAAGTCCTTTTTCTTCTTTTTCTAAAGGGAAAGCTCTGGTGATGTCGCGGCTGGTCTGTACAGGGTCAGCAGCGAAGGGGACCGCAGGCCCGGGGGAGGGAGGGACTCCGCTTCCGTCTGCGGGCCAGACGTGCAGTTTGAGTTTTGTGCTGTTAAAGCGCCCGTTGGGCCGGTGGGTTAAGGGAAAGTTCACGCGCACAGACACGGATGTTCTGGAACATGCCGAGTCCGCGTGGGAAAGTACAACAAAGCCCCTAAAGGGAAGCCAAGAAGTGAGGGAGGGGTCTGCTGGCAGATGCCCCGACCACCCCTGGAGACACACACACACACACACACACACACACACACACACGCCAGTCCCAGGGGCAAAACAGTGCAGTGTCAGAGGGCCCCACTTGCTGTCCCTCCCCCCCCCCCCCGTCCTTTTTGTCTTTTTCACCACAAACAGGTCCCTAAAGAATCCCACTGCGCTGGGGGGTAATTTCTGGAAGTTCCCAGAACTGTGTGCGCTTTGAGGCTGTGCACACTTTTTGTGTGGGTGACTTTGTCATGAAGGTCGCAGGGACCTGCTACCTAACAGTGACAGGGGCACAGGGATGGCTTGAGGCCACAGCCAATTCTGCGGGAAATGTCATCCTGGAGCCTGAGGTAGTTCAGTAAACATCTCTTGTGATAAGATCCCTTGTGGCTCTGACGTGCAGAGTCGCCTCCCAAAGGAAAGGACGGCGCCTTCCTCTGGGCTCTCGGAGTTGGGGGGGGGGGCGACCCCTCTGATTTCTGCTGTCCAGCACCTGCCACTGTGTGTGGCCGGGCCCTTGAAACGTGACTGGAACAACGGAGAGACTGACTTTAGGCTGGCGAATCTTAAAGCAGGGCCATTTAAAGGAGACCTGGAACATTCCCATCGCTCCCAGAAACTTCTCCCGGGCGCCCAGGCCTCCACCCGCCCCCCAGTGGTCACGTTGTTTCAGTAGGAAGGGAAAGCCACTCCTTGCTTGATTTTAAACACTGTGTTTCTCACTTTAAGACAATTTGTAACCAAGCAGCAATCCCGTTGCTTTGAGCCTCTGTGATTACCTACTGTGCCATAAACCCCATTCCTTCTTAAAAAGAGTAACAAAGCCAGAGCAACTTCAGGGGCCCCCGCCCCCGAGGCCCGGGCAGGAACTCCAGTCTGGGTTGCCCGGGCCTGCCTGGAACCCCGGAAAGGGGGCTGCCTGACTTCAGGCCCAACCTGCACAAAACAAGCTCTGAATCCCCTGGGCTCTTCGGAGGCCTGGGTCGAGGCTGTGTGAACGGACACGCTTTGGTCTGCACGCTGCCGGGCAGGTAGATGCCTCTCCCTCCAGGAAGAGGATGCCTGCCTCCCGCCCTGACTGCGCCGAGGGACGCCCAGCCCCCGCCCCCGGCCGGCAGAGCCCTCAAACAGAGTCGCAGGACCGCTCCCCTGAGGTTTAGCATCGGTCTTTAATGCTGTCGTGCGGCACATTGACAAGTCACACGCTTTGGTCTCGTGTTGGCAGTGGCAACATACAATGAGTCTAAAGGTCTGAGCACCAGACTGGCCTGCGGGGAACAGACACTTCGTTCCCTCCCCACCCCACCCCCGCCCTCCCCGACACCCCAGGTCCCTTCGGGATTTCGGCATGGCCCGCCACGGCCCCGAACGGAGCGCGGCAGCTGCCGGGGCCCGGTTTCCTGGGCGTGCACACCGACGTTACACAGAAGTATAAAAACACATTTACAAACGTTCCACGGTGCTCCTGCAATCAGAAGCAAAGACCCTTTTATCAAAAGGGATTATAGCTAGGGCTGTGCAAAATCAAAAGGATCAGATCCTTTTGAAAGAGTCCAGAGTCCGTTAAACACAAAATTACCTGGGTCACTGGTAAGCCCCAGGTGTGCCAAAGATTGCCTTACAGAAACAAAGGAAAAATCAAGAGTGTGACCCTTAAGCGAGTGCACTTGGCCTCGGAGCCAGGGGTCGAGAGGGTCCCCGGCTCTGTCCAGGGCCCCAGACCCTCCAGGAAGAAGCGTCTGTGCAGCTCACCCACGAGGCCGGCGCCCTCGGTCCTGCCGAGCAGGAGGTATTGCTTGCGGCTGGCGGCCCGGCAGTTTCGCAAAACTGGTCTAGGTCAGTTCTCAATTTGAGATGTGGCCAAAGAGAAAACAGGATTCTTCAGAGGCCCAGCACGACGTGGGAGACAAATACAGAGTAAAACACGAACCGATCACACGACAAATCTGAGGAGTGCGCAGGGTCTGGGAACCGCGGCGGAAGGTCGATACCACATTACGGCCGCAAGCAAAGGGGCTCCGGGCCGATCGAGTCCAGCCGCTGCAGGTCTGCCTCTCGCCCAGAGGCAGGGCCTGGAGGAGGGTGTGGGCCCGTCCCAGGAGGGCTGCAGGGCCCAGAGGGACAGCCGGGAATGCCTCTTCCTGCTGTCCCCACCCCCTGCCGCCCTAGCCCTGGAAAAACCACTGAAGTCTAGTGCACGACTTTGAAAGATTGTAATATATTCTCTGGGAAACATTCAGCAGTACGAAAGCCCTCCCTGGGCCCTCCCGCCCTCTCACGGGCCCACAGCTGGTGGAACAGTCTGGAAATCCTTGAGCTCTGGAAAGGTCCCTGGTCAGTCCTCAGCGCCCCGGTGACTATATGGGGAGAACCTGCTCCAGTACGGTTCTCGACGTCTGGGGAATCCTTTCCGGGAAGATCACTTCGAACTCGATAATGAGGTCCCCGCGTTTCTCGGGTGTTTTGGGGAGGGGGAGGCCTTCTCCAGGAACTTTCCGCCGCATGCCAGGCCTGATGACATCCTTGAACACAACGGGGATGGTCCTGCCGTCCAGAGTGGGTACGTTCACGGTGCAGCCACACAGAGCCTTGGGAGGGCAAAGAGATAACGTTAGATGGAAGGCAGCTCAGGAAACTCTACTCCAGCCCAGACGCTGTTTGATGCAGGGTAAGCGCCATCAGGTCCTTGTCGCCAAGACCAAGGTCCCTGGATCTACACAGGTCACGGGCAGGGGAGCCCCGGAAAAAGAGCCCTAGCCTCCCAGAGCGCAGAAACATCTGTTGAGTATATATGTTCTTTAATGTTTTTTATTTATTTCAGAGAGAGAGAGACAGAGACAGAGAGAGAGAGAGAGGGGCAGCAAGAGACAGCGTTGAGCAGGGGAGGGCCAAAGAGAGAGAGGAAGATGCAGAATCTGAAGCAGGCTCCAGGCTCTGAGCTATCAGCACAAAGCCCGATGCAGGGCTCAAACCCACAAACCGTGAGATCATGACCTGAGCCAAAGTCGGACACTTAGCCAACTGAGCCTCCCAGGCGCCCCATGTTGAGTAAATATCGAACAGCTTCAAAACCCAGCCATCCCCCTCCACATGTTACTACCCAACTGAGCACCCTACCTCCCGAAGGCTGACCCTGGCTGGGTAAATGACGTCAGAGCCGTCTCTCTTAAAGATATTGTGGGGCTTGTCCTTTAAAACAAAGACGATGTCGGCTGGAATGTTGTTGGAGGTCTGGTCACCTTCCTTGGGGAAGGTGATTTTGGTCCCTTCTTTCCATCCCCGCTTTACTTCGATGGTCAAGATCTTGTCTTCGTTGCGGACGCTCTTTCCGTCGGGGTTTAGCCGCTTATGGGAGATCTTCATCTTCTTGGTGCAGCCGCTGTAGATCTCTTCGAGCGAGACCCTGAGGTCATGTGTGACGGGGGGATCTTGCTTCTTCCGGGTGGGCTCCTGGGCGGGACGGGAGCGGCCAAAGTTCAGGTTGGTGAAGCCGCCCATACCCATGGGCAGGCTGGAGAACGGGTCGTCAATGTCCATGCCCTCCTCCCCGTTCCGCTGCCCGAAGAAGTTGTCAAAGGGGTTCCGGCCACCGAAGAACTCAGCAAACATGGCGTGGGGGTCTCCATGGAACGTGTAGCTGAAAGAGGTACCGTTCGCACCACCGCTGGTGCCGCCACTGGGGCCACCACCCTTAAGGCCTGAGAGGCAAGATCAGAAGGAATCAGATGGTTGGCAGGGAGCCTCTCTCCCTCTAGGACCTTTCGCTAAGGGAAAAGAGTTTGGGAGCCATGGGGGGGGGGGGCGGGGTTAGCTTGTCACAGATCAAGGAAGAACCCCAGGGTGCTACCGCTGCCCTCGAGGCACTTCGGGGTGCCAGGACGGTGGCAAGGGGCCCAAGCGCCCTCTCTAGGGGCCACCCCACTGCTGGCTTACCCTCCCTGCGTGGATGTGAACACCTACAAAAGCTGCATTAAGAGATCAGATGAACGAGGCAGGATCCAGGGTCCGCCCTTAGAACCCCCGTAGGGCCGGTGGAGTGCGAAGAGCAGAAGGAAAGGCAAGACAATAAACGCAGCTTTCCAAAGTCTCACACCCTGACGCTAACTGCCACCATCCTTACATAAAAAGCCGCTTCGTTTCTTAAGACCCAGCCCAGGAGGTAGCGTGAGTCATCGACCGGCAACTGGACAACAAGGCGGCTTCCCTCTGCCGCCCGGAGGGGCCCGGGCCGCCCCGGCGCGCGCTGCCATCTACGTGCCTGGCACCAGGCTAGGTAAGCACTTTACAGGGATTACCTCACCCCGCCCTCACCGGGGCCCCGCGGCGAGGCCGCCGCTAATCTGCGCGCTCATCGCGGGCTCGCCTCTTGCAGGTCGTGCCCGGCGCGCAGCCAGAGGCTCCGCCCTGCGCCCCCGGACGCCGGCGCCTGCCACCTCGGCCCAGGTGAGCCCCGGAACCCCGGGGCCGTAGCGCCACCGGCCTGGCTAAGCCTGTCCCCCTTTCCGTCCGCATCCGCACCCCAGAGGCTGCTAGGGTACGTGGGCGGAGGTGCCTAGGGAGGGGCAGCCCCAGACATGCTAGAAGCTTCTGGACAAGCACAGCGGCCAGGACTCCTCCTCCCATCTGGTGGCCGCCAATCCGAGGGCGGAGACCCGCGTGGCCGGAGGGCGGGGGCTGCTCGCCCACCGGGACCCGGGCGTCCCCCCGGGATGCCATAGCCTGGCCACCGGGCCTCGGTTTCCCCTTCTGTCAAACGGCGGGGGCGCGCCCCTAGCCGCGCGCGCGCGCACCTTCTTCCCCGTAGCGGTCGAAGATCTCGCGCTTGCGCGGGTCGCTGAGCACGTCGTAGGCCTCGGCGATCTCCTTGAACTTCTCCTCGGCGCCGGGCTCCTTGTTCTTGTCTGGGTGGTAGCGCAGCGCCTGGCGGCGGTAAGCCCGCTTGATTTCCTCGTCCGAAGCGCCGCGGGCCAGGCCCAGCGTCTGATAATAGTCCTTGCCCATAGCCCCCACCTACGGCCCGCCGCCTAGCTGTCGCCGTACCCCGGCTTCGCCGCCGCCGCCCCGTCCCGGACTCTATATACCCGTCCGGCGGAAGCTTCCAGAGCCCGCCAGCCCCCTCCAGAACCTTCCGCCCCGCCCCCCGCGCCGCTCCGACCAATCGCCGCCGCCTAATCCGCGACGCGCGACATCCGGGGCGGGACCACCCTGCCAACGGCCGTCCGCGCGCGGCCACGCCCCTTCCCTCTACACCCTCGGCAACGCCTCCCCGCGGCGCGCGCACCGAGCGACGGAGGCCCCGCCCACTTTCTGCGGGAAGCCGATCGCGACCTTCTTTCACTGCCTTTGCTGACTCGGCCTGCGGCGAGTCTGGTCCGAAGCCTGGGTCAATAGGTTACGACACTGCCCTCCGGAAAGGGGCGGGGCTGGAGGCGGCCACGCCCCTCAGAGCTGCCCCGCCCTTCCCCAGGTGACAGTAGAACTGCAAGCCCGCATCTCACAGGGGCCCGGGGGTGGGTTCCCCTCCGGTGATTCTGAGCAAGTTGACTAAGCTTTCCTTGCCCCAGTTTTCCTCCCCTACCCCGACTTCTGTAACATGGGAATAAAAATACCCACCGCTCTCTTGGCCTTGGGGGAAATGCGATTAGGAGCCCCTGGACTGTCCCTGTCGTCACCATAAAGACCCCATAAAGCAGGGTGAGGCTCCAGGACCAAAGCTCACTTCCCCGGAGTAATCTTCCCTCCGGGGAAAAAGGCTCCTCGTGCCTTTCGCTTTACGTCGCACTGAAATTTTTTTTTAATATTTTTATTTATTTCTGGGAGAGAGAGAGAGAGAGACAGCGTGAGCAGGCGAGGGTCAGAGAGAGAGGGAGTCACAGACTCTGAAACAGGCTCCAGGCTCTGAGCTGGCAGTCAGCACAGAGCCCGACGCGGGGCCCGAACCCACGAACCGCGAGATCATGACCTAGGCGAAAGTCGGACGCTTAACCGACTAAGCCACCCAGGCGCCCCAACGTCGCACTGAAATCTTAAATCATCTCCTTCTTTGGCTCAATTCACCTCCCTGCCAGCCCACAGTTGTCAGTGCTGGGTCTCCAGTGCCTGGAACAGTATCTGGGGCCCGGTCACAGCGGACGCTTCATAAACATTCCTGCCTGTTTTTAATGCATCTGCTTCATTTTTCTCCGCACGACATTTATGATTTGGGGGGACATGGGTGTGTCGTACACCCCTCGGGGCCTCCGTTTCCTCATCTGTGGGCAACATGATCCCCTTTGGCTCTGAGAGTCTGGGGTGCCTGTGGTCAAAGACAGGGCTAAGGAGGCTCAACACAGGGCACCACTGGAGAAGGTTATAGGGAAGAAGGGATCAGCAGTGGTGGTGTCCAAGGTGGAAGTTTCCTGGAAGTATTGCTCGGGGAGATCGGGGTGGTGTGACTCTGGCTGGCCCTGGAGCCAAACAGCAGGTTCCTTCCCAGTTCTAGTACTTCCTGGCTGCATGATTGTGGCCTGGTTACTGACCCAGGCAGGGCCTCAGTTTCCTCATCTGTACAACGTGGGCAGCAGTTAGTTGTACCTGCCTCACAGGGCTTTGAAATGGACATGAGTCAGGCTGACGGGGTGGCTCAGTCGGCTGAGTATCCAACTTCAGCTCAGGTCGTGATCTCACAGTTGGTGAGTTTGAGCCCCACATTGGGCTTGCTGCTGTCAGCACCACAGAGCCTGCTTCGGATCCTCTGTCTCCCCCTCTTTCTGCCCCTTCCCTGCTTGCTCTCTCTCAAAAACAAACATTAAAAAAGAAGAAGAAGAAATTGACATGAGTCAACATTTGTAAAGTGCCCAGGGCAGACCAGGCACAGAGGAAGCACTCTTCAGAGGGGTGACTAACTGTCTTGTCGAATGATGAGCTGCTGAGCGCCCCCTCCCACTTCCTGGCAGCACCACAGCCAAAAGCTGCTAGAGACAGCTGCCCTTGTGCCAGCTGAGACTCCCGAGAAGGAAGACCGTGGCTTTCCCCTGCTTTCCGGCTGTGGGGTCTGGGCCATCCTTGGCCACTCGCTGACCCCACCCAGGGCAACTGTGTCAGTAAGGACTGGGTTGGCACACACGGGCCAACCCAGGAGGATGGCTCTGGGCTGGCCATCCATGAGCACAGCACAGCAGGGTCCTGAACCATCATAGGGGGGAAACAATCCAATTTTTAAAAAAGTTACGGAAATAAATAGCTGGAGAGTCATCATCACGAAGGAAAACCCAGCGCTTGTGGACTTCCTCCCCCTTACGTGCTAATGTTTCATAGTATATGTTTAATTTAGAGTTACAGATGTGGCACCTGCCAAAAGTCTTGGCATGGCTTTGGGTGTTTCTGCATCTGGAGGCAAACTTAGGGACGGAGGCTCCCTCTTCCTTGCGTAAGCCTGGGTCATGTTCAGGAATTTTTGTTTAACCCCAATATATGCTAAATAACCCCAACATCTCTCCTTGGGATTTTTTTTTTTTTTGACCTGGACGCTCATTGGACTCTTCAAAATGTCACTGGAAAGGTAGCCTCAGTGGAAACCTCAGCAGATCTTGAGCTCTCAACTCGGACAAGATGGGATGGTTAATTTTATGCATACAGCTTGGCTGGGCTGTAGTTCCCAGATGTTCAATTAAACTGTAATGTGTTACTGTGAAGGTATTTTGTAGATGTGGTTAAGTTAACATCTATACTCAGTTGACTTAAGTATAGGAGAGGACCCTGGATAATGTGGGTGGGCCTTGTCCAATCAGTTGAAAGGCTTTACAAGCAAATAATACTTAGGTTTCCCTGAGGAAGAAGCATCAGCTCCTGGCGGAGAGTTTCTAGCCTGCTGGTCTGCCCTACAGAGTTGAGACTTGCTTAGCTAGTGCCCACAGTCGTGTAAACCAATGCCTTGAAATACATCTCTTCTCTCTCTCTCTGTGTATATATTTTGAAATTTTTCTTTAAATGTTTATTTTTTTTAATGTTTTTTTTTTTTTATTTCTAGGAGAGAGAGAGAGAGAGAGAGACAGCGTGAGCAGGGGAGGGTCAGAGAGGGAGGGAGTCATAGACTGAAACAGGCCCCAGGCTCTGAGCTGGCAGTCAGCACAGAGCCTGATGCAGGGCTCGAACCGACGAACCACGAGATCATGACCTAAGTGAAAGTTGGACACTTAACCGACTAAGCCACCCAGGCGCCCCTTTAAATGTTTATTTTTGAGACAGAGAGAGAGAGAGAGCACAAGGAGGGGAGGAGCAGAGAGCGAGGGAGACACAGAATCTGAATCAGGCTCCAGGCTCCGAGCTGTCAGTACAGAACCCAATATGGGGCTGGAACTTGACCTGAGCCAATGTCAGATGCTTAACTGACTGAACCACCCAGGCGCCCCAAAATACATCTTTTAATACACACACTCACACACACTCACAAACACGTATATCCTGGTTCTGTTTCCCTGACTGATGCAGGAACAAAGCAGGTGAGCCTGGAGTCAGTCAGCCTCAGCCAAAATCTTGGACCCACTATTTTCTTATTTACTGCTTGTGTGATCTTGCGCAACTTGTTTAGGTGTGTCTCCTATAAAATGGAGGTAAGAGTGAGATCTTACCTCCCAGAGTGGCTGTAAAGATGAAATTGACAGGGGCCTGGAAATAAACATTATAACAGCTATTACTGACATGGTCCTACTATGTGCCAAGCCAGCTCCAAGTGCCCCATACGTATTAACACATTTTAATCCTTGCAATAATCCAGTGGAGTGGCCTAGTGTTACCTGCATTTTGCAGTGGAAAAACTGAGGCTCTGAGAGGTCATGTGATTTGCCTGAGGTCATCCAGCGACTAAAATGCTTAAGTAAAGTGTTCGGCACACTCAGTGTTTACAGGTAAGCCCTCAGCTTGTGTTAAATGTGATTCAGATGATGATAAAGCCTGAAGTTTTAAGGGACGCATCGCCACTATTTTCAACATTGCTTCTCTTCATTAAAAAGAACTTCAAAAGCACTACTGCGTATGAGCCACCCCTAGTGACATGCCCATGTGAAGTAAAAACCCATGTCCCCATAAAAGCCCAGGAGCCATATGGAATACTACTCAGCCATTAAAAAGGACCAAGCTACTGGTACAGAAAACAAGGCAGATGAACCTCAAATGACTTATGGTTGTGAAAGGAGCCAGATTTGAAAGGCTGCCGTGATTCCATTTTATAAGGCATTCTGGGAAAGGTAAAAGTGTTGGGACTGAAAGCAGATGAGTGGCTGCCAGGGGCTGGAATCTGCTACAAAGGGATACGGGGGAGTTTGGGGCATGATGGAAAATTTCCTACATCTGGAGTGTGATGATGGTGACACAGCTATATATATTCTAAGCTGTACCTTATAAAAGGGAAATTCTACTGTATGTAAATTATAGCTGAATAAAAAGAAAAATAATTCTATGGACTTAAAGAAGGCAAGACAGGGGCGCCTGGGTGGCTCAGTCGGTTAAGCGTCCGACTTCGGCTCAGGTCATGATCTCACAGTTTGTGAGTTCAAGCCCTGAGTTGGGCTCTGTGCTGACAGCTCAGACCCTGCTTTGGATTCTGTGTCTCCCTCTCTCTGCCCCTCCCTGCCTCAAGCTCTGTCTCTCTGTCTCAAAAAATAAATAAACATTTATGGGGCGCTTGGGTGGCTCAGTCGGTTAGGCATCCGACTTTGGCTCAGGTCATTATCTCACGGTTCGTGGGTTCAAGCCCCGCGTTGGGCTTGGTGCTGACAGCTAGCTCAGAGCCTGGAGCCTGTCTTCAGATTCTGTGACTCCCTCTCTCTCTCTCTCTGACCCTCCCCTGCTCACGCTGTATCTATGTCTCTCTCAAAAATAAATAAAACATTGGGGCGCCTGGGTGGCTTAGTCGGTTAAGCGTCCGACTTTCGCTTAGGTCATGATCTCGCGGTTCGTGGGTNGACTTTCGCTTAGGTCATGATCTCGCGGTTCGTGGGTTCGAGCCCCGCGTCGGGCTCTGTGCTGACTGCCAGCTCAGAGCCTGGAGCCTGTTTCAGTCTGTGACTCCCTCTCTCTCTGACCCTCCCCTGCTCAC